CCTGCCGTACTGTGACGAGATCATGCAGCTGCTGCTGGAGAACCTCGGGGTGAGGAGGGGGAGGAGCTCCTTCGTCTTTATTGACATGCACCACACTGACCGTGATGTGAAAACCACGTTTATCTGAGACTTCCTCTCTCATCACTTCCTCGAGTTTTTCTGCACATGCTCAGTGGCAGGAGCACTTCCTGTGTGGCACAGATTTGGGCCAAAGCGCCGTTAGCTGGCTGCTCTGACATCAGTGAAGCTGTAGAAATTCAGTTCCATTCCAGTCAACCTTTGACCCCCACACAGTCAGCTGGTTCAGTTTCCACATTAGCTCCCGTCTGCCCCTCACAGGGTCGGTCCAGATATTCCGACCCACAGTCACATGATGATCCAGGTGTAGCGAGCAGCCACCTGTTCACAGGTGTGGATTATTGATCCCAGACTTCACCTTCCTCTGGTGCTGTTTGATCACCTGATGGACATTTAACAGCTGCCGTGTTCCAAAGCAGTCTTTGTGCCGCTCACCTGTCTGACCCTCTCACAGGTGTGCAGATGTTAAACGTTGGTCTGTTTACAGAACGAGAATGTGCACCGGTCGGTGAAGCCTCAGATCCTCTCTGCGTTTGGCGACATCGCTTTGGCCATCGGGGGCGAGTTCAAGAAGTACCTGGACATCGTCCTGGACACCCTGCAGCAGGCATCGCAGGCTCAGGTGGACAAGGTAAAGCCCCGCCCCTTCAGATGTCTGAACACACACTGAATCTTGAACTTGGGCTTCGAGTGTAGAAATGCTCAGCTTAGATTCGGACGTCTGTGATGAAAACTCATGCACCACGCTGACCGTGATGTAAAACCAACCACGTGTATCTGAGACCTCTGACCTCACAGATTTACTTCCTGTCTGTCCGAGTTCACCTGACACATCTGAACCTGTGTTTCAGACGGACTACGACATGGTGGACTACCTGAACGAGCTGAGGGAGGGCTGCCTGGAGGCTTACACCGGCATCATCCAGGGCCTGAAGGGAGACCAGGAGAACGTCCACCGTAAGGACACACACACACACGGACAGACGGTCTCTCTGGCAGCGTCTGTCCTCAGGTGTCTGGGGCTACCTGGTTGTCTAAGTGCTAACGGTTATCGCTGTGATCGCATGACCACAGCTCCAGCGACGTCAGTTCCTCTTCCTGCTTGCAGTCAGCAGGAGGCTTTAGTGATGTCGCAGACAGACGTGGGTCCTTTTCACCCGGGAAGCTTTAGGCTGCCGCCGAACTCACAGCTTCCTGGTTTTGCGGGACCCAACAAATAAAAAAAACCTCCTGTTTGCTTTACTTGCTCTCTCACCCTCATCTCCTCTCCACCCCTGCAGCCGACGTGATGCTGGTGCAGCCTCGGGTGGAGTTCATCCTCTCCTTCATCCACCACATCGCCGAAGACGAGGACCACTCTGACGGCGTGGTGGCCAACGCTGCCGGACTCATCGGGTAAGCAGGGGGCGGAGCTGAAGCTCGACCATGTTGGTCCAACATGGAGATCTTATCAGGAGGTCACAGCCAATCAGAGGGTTCCTTTACCCCAGAACACTTCATGCTCAGATCAGATATCACAGAGCAGCTTTTATGGTTTTATTTTGAAGGAGCTAAACTTCCTGTGGTCTGCACCACAGCTGATCAGCGAGGGTCACATGGTTCAAAGTCTAAGGCGTTGTGGTCGGTGAAGAGAAATCATGCACCACGCTGATGGCGTGATGGAAAACAAACCGCATCCTCTGAGACCAGCACGGTTACCCTGGCGATGCTCCAGTGTCCAGCTTGAGAGCTCAGATTCTTTTCACATTAAAAGCCTCAGTTTGTTTGACGTGTGTGTTCCGTAGTGACCTGTGCACAGCATTTGGGAAAGATGTGATGAAGCTGGTGGAGGTTCGCCCGCTCATCAACGACCTGCTGACGGAAGGCCGGCGCTCCAAAACCACCAAGACCAAGACGCTCGCCACCTGGGCCACCAAGGAGCTCCGCAAGCTGAAGAGCCAGGCCTGGTGAGGGTGGAGGCATGCTTCTCGTGGCTTCTCTGCGTCACTTCCTCTCTAACCCCTCCTCTCTCTCTGTGTCTCCTGCAGATGGCGGGTGTCGTGTCAGGGCGAGATGAGACTTCGGATGACATCACTGAGGACAAATCGGCCGCTGGATTAAATCTTCTGTGTTTGTCGGCGTTTCGCTCGAAGCAGCAGAAGAAGAGATGAGTGTCTGTGTGTGAGCGCGAGAGAGAGACGTGTGAGCGAGCGAGAGATGATGACATCACACCACCTTCAGTTCCTGCAGGCGATGACCCCGCCCCCTCCCCCTCCCCTCTTGGATGGCCTGTGGACTGGACTGTGACTCCTCCCCCTTAAAGAAACCCCCTCTCCTTCCACTCCTCCCCCGCCTCTGCCCGCGATCCGCCTCTTTCGCTGTAGCTGGGCTCTCCTATGACATCGTGATGATGTCACCGACCTGCCGCCGCCACCCCCCCTGCTCAGGGGGAGGGGGAGGAGGAGGGGAACTGTGTGGAATCAGCTGATCGAGTGACTGCGTGGACTACTTCTTCTGTGGAAAACTGGATTTTTGTTGCTCTTACGTTTCTTCTTCTGAGCACTAAACATGGCGGCGGAGCTGTGAGGGACGGATGCCTCCGCCCGCTCGGTCTCCTCCAAACAACGGCAGCACTAAATTCCTTCAAAATAAAAGCCGAAACGATGCTGAGAGGAGCGAGTGCCAAATGGGAATAGTTTAGCCCGGGCGTGAGCGAGTGCTGCGAGCTGCCTCGGGTTTCCTCGCCGCCGCGCCTGCTTTGGGAACGGGTCACTCACCTTTTTGCTTGTTAAGATTTCAGATGATTGAAGACGTTTGTATGAGGTTCTATTTTTCCATTGCTATGATGAAAATAAAGTTAAAGTGATACAAAACATTCCCCGAGCTCTTCTGTGCTTTCGCTCTTCTTCTTCTCGGACTCCTGGACTCAAACGTTTTGGACTCTGCTGATTGGACGCTGAGCTCTGGCTGTCTCCCACTGTTGGCTTGTTTATTCGACGCTACAAAGAACCATGATTTTTGTTTTTTGGAACTCACTAGCAGTAAGGCGGTCGCTCCTCGCTACTGGGTGACTTCCTGTTGGGACGGTTTCAAGAAAAACAACAAAAAACCCCAACACTGACACGAAGCTTAAACGCTGCAGAGCGCGCTCATTGCCGCCTCTACGGCCGGAGAGCTTTGCTTTCAGTTGGTAAATATGATGGTCACTGAAAGCCAAGTGGCTCTGGCCTCGGAGGCTTTTATTTTGTAGAGGCGCGGCAGCTGTAGGGAGGAAGCACTTCCTGTGTTGACATGAACCTGAAAGTTTTATTTCTGAATTGTGAATCATTTGAAGCCGATCTGCTTTTTCTTTCATATTCAACTTTAGTGAACTAATAAAGTCTATATTGTACTGACCGTCTGCTGCTTCTTCACAACGCTACTGCTTCCTGCTGGAGTCTGACAAAATAAAAGCCTCTCACTGCTCTACATCGGGGCTCAAAGTCAAATCCTGATGCGATGGGTGAAGCAGTGTGTGGTGTCACGTGACCTCATGAGTGTTTTATTTTAGCTGCTTTGCCTCAAAACAAACGCTCTTCCTCTGCACCAGACTGCATTCACAAAACTCCTGATTTTACCTGAGTACAGGTGAGCTGCGACAGTTGGGACTTCAGTTTAAAACATTAAAGTACAACACTGAGGATTCAGGTCCCAGCGGTGCTCAGACGTGCTGCTAAAGGCTGGCGCAAGCTCTGCAGCACCGCTATAAAATCGACATGAAAAGCTAGAGTATTGTAAAGCTCGTCGGGCCTGTGTGTGTGGAAACGGGTTATTCATAAGAATCTGCAGGTAAGGGGTGACGGGCTGGCTCAGCGTGCGTCACGTGTCGCCTCCACGGTTTCTGAGCAGCTCGTTATGCGCTCAGCATTACGGAATATCCTTTAAATCTTTCTAAATGTGTTCTGGATGGTTCAGTGTTTCCTGCAGCGCGTCCTTGCACTGCAGGGTTAAAAAAAAAAAAAACTGGTTTTGGCTGTCACAGAGCACCGGACTGGACCCCGGGCCACATGTTGGACACCCTGTCCTGCATATACACACAATGGAAATGATAAACCAGCTCTCTGTTGCTGTGGAAACAGCTGAAAAATGAGAAATGCACAATAATGGAAAGGTTTTCTGTTTCGCTCGCCAAAGCAGCACCTGTGGGCTCTAGAGGCTCACCTGTTGAGCTTTGAGTTTCCCTGCTCTCCGCTGTAGCTCAGGTCAGGTGTTCCTGCTACGAGCACAGGTGAGAGCAGCAGGGCCACCTCCTGTCGATGAGCCATACACTAATAATACAATGATGACCACCCACGGGCCTTACTTTGAGAACCTGACTTTCTCCTTCAGACCTCAGAGGGATTTTCGGGAATGATGATGTTTTCCATTGATCTGATTGGCCCGTAGGTTGTTCCTGATGAACCACCTTTGAGACCTCGAGAATCAATGATTCACTTTTTGTTTTTCTTTACGTGGTCATCGGACATCAGTTGTCGACTCGTCAGCCTCTCAGTCTGCGTTTCACATACAAGTTACTGACTGTTGGAGAAGCCTCTGACGTCACTCTTAGCTTCAGTTTCCCGGTCAACTCACTTGCTCTCCGGCTGCTGCGATGGCCGAGAGGTTAAGGCGTTGGACTTGAAATCCAATGGGGTCTCCCCGCGCAGGTTCGAACCCTGCTCGCAGCGACTTTTTAATAAAGTTCAAACTCTCCCCTGAAAAAGCTGCACGAGCCGGAAACAGCCCAGAGAGTACGCGTCACACCAAAATAAAAAAGGAACTGTATGAGGATGGATTAAAACCAATGACTGTAGAAACCAGTCATTGATTAAAACACACAGACACAACACCGATAAGTAAAATAAGTATATTAATAATGTTTTGTAAACTCAAAGAAGAAATATAAAAAACAGAAACAATAAAAGAAATCATTAAAAAAAATCCAACCAACTGAAAAACAATAATTAAAAATAATACCTGTATATTACTGCATAATAATTAAATGAAATAAAACTTTACTACTGTTCGTAACATTAAAATTTTAAAGTGATCCACTAAAAGCGAATTATTTTTTTTCCATAAATCTTCAATTTCCCTCAATAAACGACAACAATCGTCATCATCATCATGAGGCTGTCAGATCCCGGCAGGTGTTCGGTTCCCTCCGTTAATCGTTTAGCTATGATCGGTGATCGATCCTGCGTGCGCAGCCCCGCCTCCCGCCGTGTTGTCTGACCGGAGGATGAGGAGTCTTTAGGAGGCTAACAGCTAACGTCACGGAGCGGCGGCACCGGGATCGTTTCTCTCGTTCCTTCATGTTCTGACGTCGTCCAGCGGAGCCTTCGCCGTCACGAACCGGACCGGACTTCACATGTCCGCGGCTGTGCGCTGCCGGCGGCCCGGGTAGCTCTGCCGGGAGATGCGGCAGCAGCTAGCCGTTAGCCCCGCAGCTGTTATGTAAGAGCGGAGCGACTAGCCGCGCAGCTAACGTTAGCCGCCGCCATGAATGACGCGCAGCAAGAAATGTCTCCGGACTTCGTGCTCATGCGGCTCGTGTCCGCCGCGGAGTACGACCGGCTGGACGACCCCGACGAGCTGATGTCCGGGGGCGGCGGGTTCGGCCCCGTCAAAGCCGTGCTGGGCCGCCGCGGCGGCGGGTTCGATGTGGACTCTGGCGGCCCTTCGGCAGGCCTCGGCTCGGCTTCCCCGCATTACAGCTCCCCGCTGCCCGGGAAAGGAGAGCTGAGCGGCGGGCTGGGGCTGACGCACGCCCCGTCGGGCTCCGAGGCGCCGTTGTCGCCCCCTCCGTCCGAAGACTTTGTGGACTTGCCGGTGCCGCGTGGGCACGGCTCTGCGGGGCACGGAGCGCAGCTAATGGTGCTCCAGAACTTGCTGCGGTCCGGAGACCGGATCCTGGAGTGCGGGCTGGAGCAGCCGCCCCCTGGCTTCCTGCAGGAGGAGGCAGAGCGACAGAGACAGCAGCTGGACCCGGTGCCGGGCACGGGTCCTGGCAGCGCGACAGCTGGTCCCGGGGGAGGAAAGGACCAGAACCCCCCCGCACAGGAAAACCTGCAGCCGCAGCAGCTGTTGCAATGGCACCCGGTCCTGAGGCTGGGCTCCCAGGCCCCCCAGCGGGGCGTCCCGGCTCTGGACTCGGAGTCCGGGTCAGTCCTGTGCCACACACACCACCTGCTGACAGACCGGCTGGCTAAGTGGCCCCCGGGCCTGCTGGACCAAGCCCTGCGGGCGGGGCTGCTGGAGCCCAGGAAGACCTGCCCCCCCAGGTGTCAAGACCCGGTCCTGGCTCCGGCCCAGAGGCCAGTACACCCGGGCGAGGTGAGGGAAGGAAGTGGCGGGCAGGAACTGGTGCTCTCGCTTCCTCGCTGTTCCTGCCATGGCGTCCTGGCCTCGGGGTCCGGGGGCATCGGGCCTGGCGAGGACCCCAGCGAGACGAGCGACGCCCTGCTGGTCCTGGAGGGTCTGGGGTCAGAGGAGGTGGGGGGACTCGCGGCAGAGTCCAGGGATGCGGAGGACACAGAGAAAACAGAGCGGGTGGTGGGTGCAGGGATGCCTGGGGGGGCGGGGACTGTGTTCTCCAGTGGGACTCTCAGCGGGCTGATGCGGCAGGTGCACAGACTGGCAGAGGAGGCGGGAGTGTGCACAGATCAGAGCTGCCGGTCCTCACTCGCCGTTCTCGGCGCCACCGTGTCCCTCCCCTCCTGCGTGGACCCCCAGCCCCTCATCGGCAGCACCGCCACCCCCTGCCCGTACCTGCCTGTCCGCCCGCCACTGTCCCAGGCTGCTGCGGTGCTCCCCGACCCCCTCCCATCCTCTGACCCTCGCTCTCGCCCACAGCATCAGCACCAGTCGCGCTCCCAGCCCCAGAGCCGTGCCGCTACCCCCAAACTGGGTGTGGCTTCTGGGGCAGCGGGTCGGTCAGCCTCCCCTCTGGTGGTCCTGGAGGGGGAAGGGGGTGCAGGAGGAAGGGAGGGGGAGAAGATGCCCCGGGGGAAGTCGAGGAAGGGGGGGTCACTGAAGGTCCGGCTCAGCAAGCTATTCAGAACCAAGAGCTCGAGTGGCGGCTCGGGGGGGCTGCTGGACAAGAGGCCGTCCCTAGCGTCGTCCACGTCGTCGGGGGGCAGCCTGTTGGACGTGTGGGGGTCCACCTGCAGCAACCCAGACCAGGATGGCAGGTGAGGTCCCAAACTGATCAGGTAGTATTGATTAATCAGCTGCTTAGTTTCTCTGACATCACAGAACGGATCAGAGCGAATCGGTGACCTTGTTTTTGTTCAGGGGCGACTCACTTCCTGTTTCCTCGAAGCGGGGGATTTCCTGACTGTCTCATTTTTCTTGCGGCCGATCGAGTAGACTTCATGTTTCGTATTCCTGTGCACCTCACAGTGAAAGTGTCTCTGATCATGTGACACTGATTAGTGGGGTGTATTGTTGTAACCATGGATACTGAAAGCACCTGGGCAGGTGAGAGTCAGGTGACACCAGGTGTTAGATTGGATCAGTTTTTATTGCCAGATAAACACTGACTTTACCTGTCGGCACACAGGAAGTGAAACTGCCCTCTCCTCAGGATGCTTCCTCGAGCAGCAGGTTAGTTTGTGTTGACACAACTAACCTGCTCACCTGCAGTCAGTGTGACGGTGTACACGTGACATTTCACCCCCACAGTCACACTGACTGTAGTGTGAAACAAAGCAGTCGCTGTCCACCAGACTCAGACCACAGCGAGCGGCTGTGCCTCTGTCGGCAGGTGTAGGGCGTGTTTTTGTGTCATGCTGGTGTTTGAAGGGGTCACTTTGGATCTGAACGAACTCCAGGCGTCGAGGGCCGGTGTCCTGCAGGTTTTAGATGTGTTCTTGAGCCAACACAGCTGCTTTAAATGACCTCCTCAGCATGCCGTAAAGTTCTCCAGAGGCCTGGTAATGAACTAATCATGTGATTCAGGTGTGTTGACCCAAGGTGAGATCCTAAACCTGCAGGACGCCGGCCCTCGAGGCCTGGAGTTCGACACCCCTGCTTTAAAGCATCAAAGTGTCCTGAAGCTTTTCTTTGAGCTGAAATGTTTATTCTGAGTGGAGTCGGGTGGTTGCTGATTCTCACTCAAGATCGCTCCCGTGGATACGAACATGTTGACGAGTTGCAGCGTTAAAACCTTCGTGCCTCGCTCTGCAGTCAGGATGAAGGTGATGGTGCTGATGGTGTTGTTTGTGTCTTCAGGCTGCAGGTATCCAGACCTCACAGTGCCTTCTCTCCGGTGCCCTTCACTCCGGCTTTCACCGGTGAGTCCACACAGCTGTGAGTGTGTGAGAGGTGAACAGGTGAGATGTTTTTACCTGAGTTTGTGTGACTGAGTGTTTTCAGCAGCTCTGAGTGGCCAGTTTATTAGGAACTCCTCTATAAGCTCGTTCACGCGTGCTCTGCAGCCGCGAGAACGTTAAACGCTCTTTAATGTGCGAGACCAGGTGAGCAGAGGGCAGGTGAAACTCATGTGACCTGCCTCTGATCAGCAACCCAAAAATGTCACATTAAATACATCAAGTATGTTTTTAAAAAATATTTTTAATATTTAATTTATTTCTGAATTTGACAGTTGTGGTCCTCCCAAACTTGTGTGTGTGTGGGTGGAGCCAGGTGCTGGGGGCGGGGCGGTGTGGGTCTGTGCAGACCTGCCCGCGGTCACAGTCGGGCCGGGTCAGAGACTCCTCTGCTTCGCGGTGTCAAACATGCGGCCCGGGGACCAATCGGCTCTTCATCGATTATTATTTATGTTTTATTCCGAAAAACGAAACTTTTTTCCTGTTTTGCTCCTGACACGCCCCCCTCTCCTCTCAGCTCTGCTTCTGTCTGATCACATGACTCATCAGGTCAGCTGATCACTCTGCTCACTAATCTTTCCCTCTCTCCTCTAACCCCTCCCTCTCTCTGCTTTCACCTGTGTCCAGGTGAGACGGTCTCTCTGGTCGATGTGGATATTTCTCGGAGGGGGGGGAACTCTCTCCACCCCCCCACTCCTCCTCCCCCTCCCAGACGGAGCCTCAGTCTGCTTGGTACTTCCTCCTTCTTTCTGCTTCCTGTTTGCACTTCCTCCTTCTGTGTGTGTGTGTGTGTGTGTGTGTGTGTGTGTGTGTGTGTGTGCGCCGTGACTCTTACGTGAGTTTCTGCTCTCACGGGTTTTCGTGGAATTGTTTTAATCGTCTCATTGAAGGATTTTAGTCCTCTGAGGACCAATCAGAGGCAGTTATTCTGTTTTAGAATTGTTACTTCGTATAAAGTTGCATTTTTTGGCTCTTTTATTATTTTAAATGGTTTTTTGCAGATGATTTTGGGGGTCCTCCTCAGCAGCACGGCCCCTTCATGGAGCGCAGCGCCGGGGCCTCCATGCAGTCGCTGCCCCCCCGACCGATGGCCCTGCCCCCCTCCCTCAACACCATCCAGCACAGCCTGAGCCTCAACGGTAGCGCGCGCGCACACACACACACACACACACACACACACACACACACACACACACACACACACACACACACACGTCATTAATGGCATGTGTGTTTATTTGCTGATGCGTTTCCTGTTCAGGTTTATTTTCTGTTTTTTACTGTGTTTATTTCTAGCTTTGACTCATGAGCACATTTGTCATTGTTTTGCTTTTCAATAATTAAACTTCAAACATCAGTTGTGACAGTTTGTTTTTACGTCCTGATTTTCGTTTTTATCTTTGTTCTGTAGCTGTATTTGTTTATGTAAACTCATGCCCCCCCCATCTCCTTCAGACACCTTCCTGCGAGGTTTACCTCGACCCGTCCCCCTGCGGCCCGACGGGCAGCACCCGCCCCCCGGCTCGCCCCTCGCTGCCCGCTCAGTCGACCCGATGCCGGCAACTTCGCCACCAGCCTCAGGGAGCTGGAGAAGGTGGAGCTACTATCGCCTGCTTTTGTAGCCTGCTGTGCGAGTGGGCGGAGCTAACCTGTGCATCTGCTTTCAGTGCGGCTGGTACTGGGGGCCGATGAACTGGGAGGACGCTGAGATGAAGCTGAAGGGGAAACCGGACGGCTCGTTTCTGGTGCGGGACAGCTCAGACCCGCGCTACATCCTGAGTCTGAGCTTCAGGTCGCAGGGAATCACACACCACACACGCATGGAGCACTACAGAGGTAACGCACACACACCTGTGCAGCGCCACGCCTCGCCTGTGAGCCTGCGTCCCCGTCTCACGGTTTCTCGTCCTGCAGGGACGTTCAGCCTGTGGTGTCACCCAAAGTTTGAGGACCGCTGTCACTCGGTGGTGGAGTTCATCGAGCGAGCCATCATGCACTCCAAGAACGGAAAGTTCCTGTACTTCCTGCGCTCGCGAGTCCCAGGTACCAGCATCCAATCAGCTCCAGGATATCTGTGGCTGCACAAGCGCGTGACATAGCCTCGGACGCACCACAAACACCACAAACAAGTGGCATATAAATGCCACTTGTTTTGCACATATTCAACTCTGTATATTTTATATATTTTATTATTATTATTATTATTATTATTATTTTATTTTATTTTTTTACTATTTAATTTGTAAAAATGTGTATACACACACACACACACACACACACACGTAGGAAAATATTTAGTATACACATCCAGAAATGCATACACTATTATATATTGTACATATATTTATTAGTTTCAGGTTGGCCATTCTTGTATTTTGCTCGTTTGTGTTGTTGTGTTTGCACATCTCTGTTGCTTGTGAAGCTCGCACACAAGAATTTCACTCGCATGTGCTGTGCCAGTGTGCCTGCACATGTGATGTGACAATAAAAAGTGATTTGATTTTGATTTGATTTGATTTGGCTGCAGCCGCTCATCATTAGATTCTAACAGGGAGCCTCGTGGGTCACAGCCACACTACTCAACTACGCAGCCAGTGTGACCTCGATGTTTGTCCAACCCTGAAGCTGCGTCCATGTTTCGTGCTGTCAGTGATGCTCCGTGTATTATATTATATATGGGGGGGGGGTTGATAGGTTTATAGGATCCAATGAAGACATTAGTTCATCTACATTACCTTCACAGACAGGACATTTTACAAGTACACTCAGTAAGTATCTGGACACATCAGCGTTAGTTACAAGCCTGGCTGTCCACAAATATGTTCCTATAATAATTACTGGACTTTGAATTGATTCGCCTTTTGTCCGGTTCACTTTCCTTGATATAAAATCTTTATTTAATATATTTTGAGTTTCGTGTCCTTGTGTGTTCAGGTCTGCCGCCGACCCCAGTCCAGCTCCTGTACCCGGTCTCCAGGTTCAGCAGTGTTAAGTCTCTGCAGCATCTCTGTCGCTTCTGCATCAGACAGCTGGTCCGGATCGACCACATCCAGGAGCTGCCGCTGCCCACGTACGTACCCGCCTGAGCGCTCCCACGTCAGACACGGTCCTCCTGACCTTAGAGACGCAAAGCTGACGTTTATCTGTCCCGTGGATCTTTTTCATGACACGAGATCCCGCGGTCCTCGAAGGACGCCGGGCGAGGACTTAAAACAATGTTGAAAATAATCATATTGACCCAAAACAAAACGCATGAAGGGCTGCAGCGTGACTGAGACCAGTGGCGGGTTTCTCTTTAAAGCATCATTTGGTTTAGTTTCCTTGTGCAGCTTTTGTTTATTTGATCCTTCATGTCAGTTTCACATGTTTGGTTTGATCATGTGATGTAACTGCAGGTAGAGTCTCACCTGTGACTCATTACAGCCCGTTTCATGCGCTCTCACGGTGACCTGCTGTTAGCGAGCACACCAGAACATGACAAAAAGCTAAAGCTAGCTGAGAGCCTCGGTATGAGTAACGGATCGAAGGTGATCTAACGCCGTCGCTGTGATGGAGACGATCCAGAGCGGCGTCCTGTGATCTGCTGAATTGCTGTTACTAAAAAAATCAGTCTGTGCGTGTCTGCGTCGAGGTCCATGTTGTAAAAACGCGCCTGAATGTCGGAGAGTGTAAGCGAGCCGCTAACATCTGTCCTGGCTCCCCTCAGGCCTCTGATCGCCTACCTGAGGAAGTTTTATTACTACGACCCCGAAGAGGAGATCAGCCCCACGCTGAAGGAGGACAAGGAGCAGAAGGAGCGGGGGACGGAGGGCGGCGGCCAGCCGGGGGTCGAGTCACAAACGTAGCACCGGAGCCCGAAGCCGGCGTGAGTCATCTTCACGTTTCAGACACGCGCTCAGATCAAAGCTTTTATTTTTATTTATTTTTTAGCTGTTTCAGAGCAACTTGAAAGTGTCAGTTCCCAGTGATGATCACTGTGCTTTATTAATAACTGCTAACAGGACGCAGATGCTCTGTTAGCATGACAGTTTGTTTCTTTTAGTTTGTCACAGAATTTTATTATTTTTTCACCTTAAACAACTGATTTCCTTACAGACAGAAGTAATGAGATTACATTCATGATTAGGTTTTGTGTTAGACTGTTGATGCTAAGCTAACACAGATAAGTGTGCACTGTAGTGATGACGGCGTCTCCTCTTCTTCTCTCTCTGCAGTTCTTTCCTTTTCTTTGTTTCTCGGACTCGAACACTGAAGGATGTTCAAAAATCAAGCTGAACTCTCAGACTTCAGCCAATCGGCTCCCTCCGCTCAGTCCCGCATCCGGGCGGGTTTCAGATGATCCACCCTCCTTTGAGCTCTCTGATCGGCTCACGGGGAGTCGACAGGGGAGGGGCCGGGGATGTGGAGACTCCGCCTCTCTTTTGATGTCATCGCTGAGCAGCCAGACGGCGATGTTAGCTAAAATCAGTAAAAGAGAAAGGAGCTGAGAAAGTGTCGGTCGCCTCTGGGGTCCTCTGACGATACGAGAGGGTCTCTGATCCCGAGAGCAGAAGGCGGTACAGATTTATCCCAGCTCAGAGCTCGGCGCAGCACAAAGTGTGAGAGCGTCCCCTGAATGCACCAAAAGGTCTTTAAATGAATAAAACATCACAGAAATAAACGAATGATTGTACGGAGCCCCGCAGGGGACATGGAGGAAGAAAAAAATTAAGACGGACTTTTGCGGGACCTCGCAAAAGTTTTAGCCGCATTCTTCGGAGGCCGCCGGCTCGAAGCCGACCAGGAGGTCGAGGCACGATGTGCCGGGAAAGCGGTGTTCCTCCCGGCCGTAGTAGGTCTCGACCTCCCGTCAGCTTCGAGATGGCGGGTGTCAGATCTCCGAAAACGTTGGAGCACTTTTGCAAATATGTGATGTCTTGTAAACCGAGCAGGTATCTGACGTTTACACAACTACATTCACGCCTCAAAATATCTTAAGTGTATTTTGTGACCCAGAAAGAGGAATATTACAACTAAGCAGCTGCCGCCATTGTTGGAATTCAACTTTTGCGCGATCTCACAAAAGCACGTCTTAATTTTTTTTCTCCCATGTCCCCTGCGGGGCTCCGTATGATTGAACCTTTTAAAGCTAAATTTAAGCAGCTTTGATTCGTCGGATCAGCTGATTCGTAGCTTGATTGATCATTAAGATTTGATCGGCTCTAACATGCAGAGCGGTCAGCATCAGCTGTGAGCTGGGAGTCTGATCCATAGATCCTCAAACGTCTGCCATCTGTAAGAATGTGGGAGACCTTTCTGGGTTGAGGATGACGTCCTTGTGATGTTCGCGCTGCCGCTGAAGCGTGAGCAGCTCTCGTCTGATTGGCTCGGAGACGTCCGCCGTCTGCTGCGCCGTCGTGTAAAGTTGTTTACTTTCATATTTGCACTGAGCGACTTTTGTGAGTTTGGCCCGATCCTGAAGATGAGTCCTCGCAAACCGCTCCCCGTTCGTCGATCTCGTGTACGCTGAAACCTTTGGTACGATTTTTGCACTGCAGGTGAGGAAAGGCGGAGTCTGAATGTAGGTGTGGAGCTCCAGGAAGAGGAGCGCGCTGTGAATGTCACTGAAATATTTCCTGAGTATGAGCCTAGGTCAGCTTCGGGGTTTTATCATTGAGCTAGTGGTACTTGGCCGTCCTTTAGTTCCTGCAGCGGCGTTTTCTCCACGGTCTCGAGCCGCGGGGAGTCAGCTGACCCTTCAGAGAGCGACAGGTGATCGTGGACGCTTGTTTTCTTCCTTCAGCTCGCTCAGATATGAGCAGACTTGGACGTTGAAGGCAGAAACTCTGAAAGTGATTCATTCACCTATAACACGTCCCAATGAGATCAAACCCCGCCCACTCGCACACCTTTGCACACCTGACCAACCACCGCACAAAACAGAATCGTTCAAAGTTACAGAGAAACGGACAGAAACGACTCGACTCCATTAAAAGTGTGGTGTGAGGTGGAGGGGTCGGGCGGTGTTTGAAGCTCAGTTTGAATATCGGAGTTGAATACGAACAGCACAAAGCGAGTGTTTCCTTCATGCATCTGGCCTGTAACGCGTCGGTGTGTGATGCGGCGCGCTCAGTACGGCGGCCGGGATCCTGGAGGCGACCACCGCTCCGCCTGTCGGGGCGTCATTACCAAAAAATAAGAAAAGAAGAAGAAACAGGACGACTACTGTGACGACTACTGAACTACAGCTTCCCCAAGCTGCACTGGAACAAGCTGGCGTTCAGATGAACTGGACATGAGTGCATTCAGACACTGGGAAGACTGGAACGCTGGAGCTGGGATGTGAGTGCCCTGCGGGCACTTCCATGATGTCAAACGGTGAACGTGGGGGTGAACCTGCACCTGCAGGTGTGCTTGTCTGTGGTGTGGGGGGCAGTAATCTGTGCTTGTCACCTGTTAATAAAACAGTGTGGGCGGGACCAAGGCGCTCTCCTTCTTTGATCTGTACACAGGTTCCAGGAATGGCATGATACGCAGCCTGGCTTCTGTCAGTCTGCCCCAGGGCAGCTGTGGCTGCAGCTGTGGCTCAGTGTGTGAATGAATAGTGGCATTGTAAAGCGCTTTATAAATCCAATCCATCATCGTCATTATTGTTATTATTATTATTATTGTTGTTATTATTATTATTATTGTTATTGTTATTAATTCCAAAGGCAATCCTGAAAACCAGAGTCTGCTGTGCAAAAGTCTTGAGCCTCAGCTCATGTCTTTCTGTTTGCAAAGAGCCGACTCGGTGATTGTTTAAGTTGACCAATACTTCTTTAGCTGCTGAAGGCTTTCAGTCCAGTCCTTGGCCCTGACTGTTTTCAGACCAATGTTTTTGTTACGCTGAACTCTGACCTTTGAACCTTTCAAGCGTCATGAGGCTCCGAGGAGGTCCAACAGTGAGTCTGCAGCCGTCTGTGACGCATGGTGGAGGCGCGGTCATGGTTTCAGCTGCACGTCAGTGCTGTTCTTTGATAAACTGATGAGCTATGAGAAAGCGGAGTTGAGACTGTGCTCACACCAGCTCGTTCGTGTGATTCAAACTCTTCCTCACTGATATTCTGTATTTCATGAACACGGTTCACAAAATCACTGCAAAATATGAAAAAGTGAGGGAGGCTCGAGACTTTTGCACAGTAAAAAGTCTGTGGAAGTGACGGAAGTAAAAGTACATGTGTGTGTTCGGTGTTTTATTAATTCATAACAGCCCCTCGAGGTGCTTTATATAGAACTGAGAGATGATACAGCGTTAGGAGACCGAGCGGTCGGATGATTGCAGCACTCGGTGAAAGTAGGAAGGAAAAACTCCCTTTTAACAGAAACGGGCTCAGAGAGGGAGGATGAGAGAAAACAAGCTCTGGCAGAGAGCTGATGGATTTATAAAAGCATATTTTAAAGGACCTTCGTCCGGCCCTGAAAACGCTCCTCCTGCACAAAGAAGTCCGAGATCACAGCGAGAACTTCCAGCTGTGTTTCGCACAGATCTGAGAAGCAGAGCAGCTTCACCAACAGCTGCTGTTCATTCGACTCTTCCTCTGAACCAGCTTCAGTGTTTGCTTCCTCCCCCGAGGTCTTACCTATTATTACCTTGATGCAAACAAAGTGAATTGATGTGCTGATGCATGCTCAGGCATCCAGGTAAGGAAATCCCAAAATGATCAGAGGTGATGACAATTTGGATATTGATCATAAACGGACCTCCCAGCTTCATTCAGTGGGCGGGTTTCAGTCACTACTGCTTATAAGGTTGGAAACCTGCAGTCAGCTGAGACTGAAGGAGTCACCAGATGAACAGAATCAACAGTTTGAGTAAATTAATCTGTGTTGCCATCAGTGATCGTGCAGTTATTGGTGTTTTCGAGTCTGCTGTGATGAAAGTGCCCTTCTCTGTTGTCGTGGTTACAGTATCAATGAGCTGGATCCATTTGCAGCTCATCAGAGGATTCAATCCTCCGTCATGACTCAAAATGACCAAAATAGACTTGAAATCATTTAATGAACCAAAACTTTCAGCACAGGTAGAATGAGCCAACATTTCACAACAAAAGTTAGATTTGTGTGGCTGGATGTGTGCGTCTTTGCTCCCATCAGCCACCTGGGCCCCAGGCTGGAAACCATTACAATAACTATCATCATTACAAACACGCCGCTGAAGTTTTGACTTCACAGGTCAAATGTAATCTACGACATTCTAATAACAGCAGCACAAGCTCCGCCTGCAGTCAGACGTCTGGACTGTTGGTAATGTACGAGGTTAGGCACAGGCGGGGATGTTGATGCAGGACTCGCTCTGGTCCTGCTGCTCGCCGTCGGGCAACGGGCCGCAGTTGACATTTGGTGTCCCATAAAATGAAGCTTTCTCCGACGAACGAGGAGGGAAAAGGCTGCAAACACACAAACACACGTTGTAGTATTCGCAGAACGGCAGTTTGACACTAGTTTCACTAAAAAACCGTCGTACTTGGATTTATTTCACTTTCAAAGCAACTGACGACCTGAACCCGGATAAGCCGGAGACCACGGCTGCAGGGGCAAACCTGTATTTTATTCACAGTAACGTGCAGAAAACATGTCAAATGTTCGAATCATCCTATTTTAATGCGCTGCTGCCTGACGGCCTGCAGATCACAGGTTATTCCTCCAGATTAGCGGAGTTTGCAGAATGTACTGCAGACGAGACATTCAGTTTTTTGCAGAAACTTTTTTCTGGGATATTTTGCTGACATTAATATTTGTCATGAAATTTTAAAAGGTTTGTGGTAAGTTTTGTGTTCTGCCGTGAGCATTGTTTGGGTTTCACACAGTGAAGTCGAACCGCGGTTGGAATCAAAAGATGACCAAAGTGTGTAAACCTGCTTCTTCTGCCCTCACCTGTTTTTAACAGAGCTGAGTGAACACTGAAGCGGTGAAAGTGAGTTAGTCTGACCAGCTCACGTGTACTTCAACCACAGCCAGCTACCATCCGTGACGCTTTGGCTTTTTGTTATTGCTCTTTTTTAAAATCTGCGTTTTAACAGCGGCCTGTGCACAGGTGATATTAGCCCAGGTAGCATCTATTACCTAACATCCAAGATGCCCTGGAGCTCACAGCTGGTTAAACTGTGGCTGCGACTATGAAACAAGGCTTCAGACTTTAAGGTTCTCACTGTGATGTTAGAATCTTAGCTCCCGACTGGATTTTTAACTGCACGACAGATTTGATTTGGTTTGCTGTGTCTTTGTTTTCCAGTCTGTAAACTGACTTGTAGCCGGTGTAATCAGGTTTGCAGATTCTCTTCCTGGACCGGACCGAGTTTTCGCCACAGGGTGGATCACAGAGACTCCACGGTGTCCAGGCCTCCCAGCGGCCGTTCACTGTAACACAAAAATGTGATGAGAAAGCAGCAACCTCCAAAAACTCCTGAAAACGAAGCCGGTGAGCCACCAGGACCTGCAGTTCCTCTACTGGCCAGCAGAGGCTCCAGCAGTGAGGCCACACCGGTCTCCCATGTTACTCTAACAGGTTCCGTTCGCCTTTCCAAACACGAGGTGTAGCTCATTCAGCCTTTCTTTAGAAAGTCAACATAATGTGTTGAAAGTTGAGGACAGACTCACTGTTGCAGCCTTTGATGTGGTAGCACACTCGTCTCTCAGTCAGGTTTTCACCTTCGCAGAGGGACCCGTTATGAGCCCGATGGAGACACTCGCGCACTCGTGAATGGCTGCCGTAAGTCTTCCTACAGCGGATGTCTCGCCCGCCCGGGTACTTACAGTCACTCCACTCGGACCACTCGGACCACACGCCGTCCACTGAAAACACAGAAGTTGGACATGAATCAGAAGCTTGTGCCGCAGTCTTTTCCTTTCACCTGCGCTGAGGTACCAAACCTGGACAGTGGCGTCTGGTTGAGCAGATCTTTGTTTGACGTGCTTCTCCCAGACATGGGCTACCACCATGTTGAGGGGAGGGGCTGTCACATCTCCTGGCTGATACCTGAAGTCCCAGCCCGCAGGTAACAGGACAGGAACTGAAGGGCGACCATGACCCCCAACTTCCATTCACTGATGGAGAGATTTTTTTTTTTTAAAAAGTTGGGAAAACCGGTTATTGTCTTTGTGTTGACTCCAGGGGGCGCTACTGACTCCTTTTATTTACTGGGGAGTCATAAAGGACTTGTACAGGTAGGGAAACACACAGGTGTACCTGGGCAGAAGGGCAGGTGGTTGCAGCTCTCTGTCTGGTGCCTGTCACCTTGACAATTTTGACCAGGTGGGTTGGATGAAGGGGCGGGGTTAGAACAGGCGCGCTGGCGAGTCCTTCTAATGGCTCTGCCTTGTGGGATGCAGGAACCTGAACACTCGCCCCAACTCGACCAACCAGACCAGAACCCGTCAACTGTTAGAGACGCAGAGATCCCGCTAACACTAACTGTCATGTCACCTGACATGCGTACAAACTCCAGGAGAGGCGGCATGCGGAGTAAAACTTTAATAAAATAACTTTAATAAAAAGAAAATGACCTAATTTTGAATGTTTTCTGTTGTAAATAAAATGTGTGTTAATGATTTTTGTAAATCCTTCTGTTGTTATTTACATTTTACACAGCGTCAGCTTTTGTGTTTTAAAAGATCGATAAGGAGCATTAAACCACAGCATCACAACATCAGCAAACAGGGATCCTGCTCAGACGTCCAGGAAGCGTGGACGAGACGCAGCAGGGAGGCTTTCAGCAGTAACGTCACTGAGTGTGTTGCAGTCCAAGGCTCCAGGTGTTTGTCAGTGTGTGTGTTACCTGGACATGGACTCTCACAAATCTTGCTCTGAGTGCTCGGCCCTTCGCAGACTTTGCCTCCATATCGAGGGGCGGGGCTATCACATTTCCTTTCTGACAGCTGCAGCCCCTCCCCACAGGAGACTGAGCATGGCCTGAATGGAGACCACGCGCCCCAGCTGCCGTCCTCTGCAGAGACAGCCAATAAGAGCTCAGATAATTTGATAATTTTGACCTTTTTCGGATCACATCATGAGTTGGTTCCTCTCTCACCTGCACAGTTGGGAAGCTCGCTACAGTGCTGCACCTGTAAGGCGTCTCCAGGGCAACTGTTGCCAGGTGGCGATGTGTTGTCTGACGGCATGGGGTTAGAGCAGGCGCGATGTCGCACCCTGGAGGGAACGATGACATCGCCATCTGATTTAGCGATGCACGTAGCAGAACAATGAGACCAGCTAAACCAGCTGGACCAACCACCGTGGACTGAAACGCACAGGTGAGACAGGTGACAGGTGACAGGTGGGAACTGAGTATCGGAAAGACTTTACTGAACCGCTTTAAAAGTAACACACACCACTTACCTTTGACCTTTATCAGAAACACACCTGTCCCCCCAAAACTCTCAACACAAATAAGCCTGTGAACCCTGAGAGCATGAATGACATCAATGTTACCTGGACAGGTGTTTTCAGCTGCACATCTCTCTGTTTCCTCTGAAGGACCGCTGCAAGCCATGCGACACTGAGGAGGACTGGAGCATTCTCGCTTTCGCTTCCTGACTCCGACGCCTCCACAGGTGACTGAGCATGGAGACCAGCCGAGCCACGAGCTCCACCCCTTATCTACACACACACACACACACACACACACACACACACACACACACAGGTAATTAGCACATTCAAACACAACGTGTACGTCTCTGTGTGTTTCTGTGTGTACCGTCGCAGCAGACGCCATTGCAGGGTTCAGTCTGCAGTTTTTCAGAAAGTGGAGCATTCTCGCACTCTGACTGGTCGATACCGAAACACTTCCTGCTTCTCTGCCTCACTCCCTGCCCACACAGCACGTTGCACAGTGACCATGACGACCAAGAAGACCACTTGAGGAGACTGAAAACACAACAGACACACAACAGTGTTGGTGGAGGAGCAGTTATCAGCAGTTTTTACTGTGTGTGTGTGTGTGTGTGTGTGTGTGTGTGTACTCACCCACAGGACTCACACTGTCCGTCTGTTTCCATGTAACCATAGTTTGGGTTCTGACAGCAGTCGTCTTCGTCCACCTCACCGATCTCCTCATTACACTCACCTGTGTTCAGGTCGAAGCGTGTGAAACACCTCACACAGTCTGCAGAATCACACACACACAAGGGTGACAGGAAAGATGAATGACGGACACACCTTTGAGTTCTTAGCCATCTTTATAAGAGCATTTTTGCCTCATGCTCCATTATTATTGTGTAGAAAATATATTTTTTAAATATTTTAAAATCAACCACGAATCAGAGAAAACAGGAGAAACTTTGTGTCCATTCAGAACACATAACAATCCAACACTAGCATTACGTCTTATAAGAGTCACTCAGACTCAGTTATATTTGGATCTTACGGACTGGGGCCTCTGCTAGATGTTCCCAGCACACCCTCACTACGCGTTTAGGTGCACCGGGTCTGTCCAGCGTCCTCCCCCACCACCTGATCCAACTCACCACCAGGTGGTGATCAGTTGACAGCTCAGCCCCTCTCTTTACCCGAGTGTCCAGAACATATGGTCGCAGGTCTGCTGATACGATTACAAAATCGATCATCGACCTACGGCCTAGAGCGTCCTGGTGCCACGTGCACTTATGGACACTCTTATGTTCGAACAGGGTGTTCGTTATGGCCAAACTGTGATTTGCACAGAAGTCCAATAACAAAACACCGCTCGGGTTCAGATCAGGGAGGCCGTTCCTCCCAATCACGCCCCTCCAGGTCTTGATGTCGTTACCCACGTGAGCATTGAAGTCTCCCAGCAGGACAACAGAGTCTCCAGGTGGAGCACCCTCCAGCACCCCCCCCCAGGGACTCTAAGAAGGCTGGGTACTCTGAACTGCCACCCGGCGCATAAGCGCAGATGACAGTCAGGACCCGTTCCCCGACCCTAAGGCGCAGGGAACAAACCCTCTCATCCACCGGGAAGAACCCCAACGTACCGGCAGCAAGCTGAGGGGATATTAGAATACCCACCCCAGCCCGCCGCCTCTCACCAGGGGCAACTCCAGACTGGGACAGAGTCCAGCCCCTCTCCAGGAGGCTGGTTCCAGAGCCCAAGCCATGTGTAGAGGTGAGCCCGACTATATCTAGCCGGTACCTCTCAATCTCACGGACTAACTCAGGCTCCTTCCCCACCAGAGAGGTGACATTCCATGTCCCTATTGCCAGTCTTGGCAGCCGGGGGTCAGTCCGCCAGGGCCTCCGCTCCTGGCCGCCACCTGGCACACAATGCACCCGACCCCTATGGCGCCTCCTGCGGGTGGTGGGCCTGCGGGAGGATGGGCCCATGTCTCCTCTTTGGGCTGTGCCCGGCCGGGCCCCACGGACCAAGGCCCGGCCACCAGACGCTCGCCCTCGGGCATCCTCCCCGGGCCTGGCTCCAGGGCGGGGCCCCGGTAACCCTATCCCGGGCAGGGTAAACTGTTCCCTCGATGGTATTTTCATAAGGGTCTTCTGAATCGCTCTTTGTCTGGTCCCTCACCCAGGACCAATTTGCCATGGGAGACCCTACCAGGGGGCAAAAGCCCCCAGACAACATAGCCCCTGGGATCTCAGGGACACACAAACCCCTCCACGACGATAAGGTAGCGATTCCTCTCCATGAATCGCTACCTTTGTAGCTGCCCTTTGTCTCCGATTCTGTTCATAATTTTTATGGACAGGATTTCTAGGTGCAGCCAAGTGGCGGAGGGCTTTCACTTTGGTGGCCTCAGAATCTCATCTCTGCTTTTTGCGGATGATGTGGTTCTGTTGGCTTCATCGGGTGAGGGCCTCCAGCTCGCACTGGAACGGTTCGCAGCCAAGTGTGAAGCAGCGGGAATGAGGATCAGCACCTCCAAATCTGAGGCCATGGTTCTCAGCCGGAAAAGGGTGGAGTGCCCACTCCGGGTCGGGGATGAGTTCCTGCCCCAAGTGGAGGAGTTCAAGTATCTCGGGGTCTTGTTCGCGAGTGATGGGAGAAGGGAGCCGGAGATCGACAGACGGATTGGGGCTGCAGCTGCAGTAATGCGGACGCTGCACCGGTCCGTCGTGGTGAAGAGGGAGCTGAGTGTAAAAGCGAAGCTCTCAATTTACCGGTCGATCTACGTCCCCACCCTCACCTATGGCCACGAGCTGTGGGTAGTGACCGAAAGAAGAGATCGCGGATACAAGCGGCAGAAATGAGCTTCCTCCGAAGGGTGGCTGGCCTCTCCCTTAGAGATAGGGTGAGAAGTTCGGCCATCCGGGAGGGGCTCAGAGTAGAGCAGCTGCTGCTCCACATCGAAAGGAGCCAGCTGAGGTGGTTCGGGCATCTGACAAGGATGCCCCCTGGGCGCCTTCTGGGTGAGGTGTTCCAGGCATGTCCCTCCGGGAGGAGGCCCCGGGGCAGACCCAGGACACGCTGGAGAGATTATATCTCTCGGCTGGCCTGGGAACGCCTTGGTGTTCCCCCGGATAAGCTGGAGGAGGTGGCTGGGGAGAGGGAGGTCTGGGCCTCTTTGCTTAGGCTGCTGCCCCCGCAACCCAGCCTCGGATAAAGCGGATGAAGATGGATGGATGGATGGATGGATGGTCTTTATGGTTTACGGGGACATTTTGTCCTCAAACCTTCAACAAAGGGTTTTGTGATTTATTCAGATCACATTTTTGGCTTCATTTTGGAATCAAGGTTAAGGGAGATTGAAAGCAATGCAAGCAGTGCTTGTGCTCACACCCTGCCAAAGTGAACGCGACCTCAGGCCCTTAAAGCTTCTCTCACTGCCTGTTTGCAGCCATCCTTTAGCTTACTGCCCTCTTGTGGCGTCAGTTGGAAACAGGCACGACTCTGCTTGACTGGTTGATGATTTCACTGGCGTGCTGGTGTAAACGGTGTCTGCAGCTGGTCAAGCTGAGCAGCTTTTTCTGATCGTTTAAACATACGTGATTAACTTCTGCTCTGCTTTCACTGCTCTGAGATCAGTTATAATCTGATTAATTAACTGATCTGTTATTGTATATTTCTCACATGTTTGTACGGGATACTGTATTTGTTTTAAATGTTATATACTTATGTGGTACATGCTCTCGTGGAAATGAGACTTTTACCTGGATAAATAAAGGACTAATAATAATAACAAAAAAACAATCCAGCATCAGTGTTTATCATCAGATACATTTTCTCCTAATAACCAACCTGTGATGTAGAAGAGTGCAATGTTAGACAACATTAGTAAGGAAAGCCTGGGAGACTGCTGCACATGCTGCTGTGCACACGTGCAGGCAGCATCTCCGCTCGAGCCGTCTGCTTCATTTCATGCTTTATTTGATTAATCAGTCTTTGTTTGTCTTTGTGTGTGTGTGTGTGTGTGTGTGTGTGTGTGTGTGTGGGGGGGGGGGGGGGGGGGGGGATGTCGACATAGGGGAAAGTTCGTTTTTGCTTCTAGTGAAAGTTGCACAATTTTCAGGCTCACTTCCAAAAACAGAAGCAAACGAAGCACAAAGACAGTTTAATGTTCGTCTCACAGTCAGAATCATTGATGTCCGTCTAACTGCTAACCTGGAGGATTGTTGCTGAATGAAAATCCGACAAAGTGACAATTAAAACACAGTGTGTGTGTGTGTGTGTGTGTGTGTGTGTGTTTGTTCAGGTTGATTATTTACAGATTTAGATCTGATCTCCTGAACCAACAACTCTACACTTTGAGTGTTTTCCACAGAAAACACCCGAACCCGTCACGCTACAAGCCGCTGTGGTCCTTTTGTGAAGTACTTCCACTTAAAGTACTTTTACTCTGTAGTGGAGTAAAAGTACTTCACTACAGAGTAAAGTTCTGCACTTAAAAACTTGATTCAGTAGAAGTGTGAAGCAGTAAGAGCAGTCACTGAGCACTGAAGGCCGTTTTTGGTGAAAGTTGAATGTTTTTTCTGTTTATTTCACTTAAAACCATCTCAGGCCTGTTCTGTTTTCAGCAGATCCAAGAAGTCCTCTCGACAGCTTCCAGACCCAGGAGAACGTCCTGTGGCCAGGCTGGAACAAACGTCACACGTGTGTTGTAGTACAACACTGAAATTGTCACACCAACTTTTACCATGACTCTGCTGTGAATGAACACGGGCTTCACGGTCGTGATTGTTTCAAGTTTTTATGATAAAATAAAAATGTGGGATGAAAGGTATAAAACACAATGTTAAGAACGTGATTCTGTTATTACGGCTTTCGGGTTTTTAGTCCCGCAGCTTCTCTACGAGCACCTCACAGCGTTGTGCGATTCACGTGCTGCTCACTTTAACGTCTTTACTCGTCATTCATGTCTGTTTGCAGCGCAAATCTTTGTGAGGGGGCAGAGTTCAGGTCTGACAGTTTCATTTCTTCTACCTTCTGTGGAGGAGCTGCGTCCACTGTGTGTGTGTGTGTGTGGAGGGGGGGGGGTTACGCTACACTGGCTGACACGTAACGAAGGCGTAAGCAACAGTCGCGTTAATTGTATCGAATTTCCCAGAGGAACCCACCCGAGGGATTAATAAAGTTCTATCTTAACACAGAAGGGACGATACTGATCTATGATATCGTTACTGTCTGTATTAACCACGTTCACACAGACTATAACAAAGTGGAACCCATGATGTGCCACAGTAGCCACCTAGGCTATGTGAGCTTAAACAGATTTATTCAGTGCATGTAGCTCGTCCATCATCTGCTTTGGCACCACAGGATTGGGAGTCTATCCAGTTCCCAGGTAGACGCCTAAATCCGAATCATCACTTGACCTGCAGGTGCACATGAACCCAGGACCCTGTTACTGTGAGGTGATGGCGCAGGTTAAGAGTCTTGGTGTCATCCTCGACAGCCCTCTGTCCTTCACAGCACAGATAAATAATATCACTAATATTAACCGCCTTCGTCCCTCACTCACCTCAAACAGTACCGCCATGCTCGTCACATCTCGTTTAGATTACTGTAATTCTCTTCTCTGTGCTCTGCCTCATAAATCCCTCCATAAACTGCAGTTGGTTCAAAACACAGCTGCTTTATTTCCAGAACTAGATCCACTGAACATATAACACCAGTTCTTAAACAGCTCCACTGGCTCCCAGTTCACCTCCGTGTCAATTTCAAGATCCTGCTTCTCACTTTCAAAGCGCTTCATAACCTCGTTCCTCCATATTTACCTGATCTTCATACATACTCACTCCATCGTACGCTCCGCTCTTCTTCAGCTTCCCTTCTGTCTGCTCCACCTGCTCCCCTGACTACCACGAAACTCAGAGCCCATACTTTGGATGCACCTCCACCAGATCTCCAGACCACCAGCTTTCTCAATAAATTTTAAATCACATCTTAAAACCATCTAGAATTTCATACCCTTCATCGTGATTCCATAGTTGTTTTTATTTTGTTACACTAATGTGAGGAAACCTTGAGGATCTTTAAAGGCGCTTCTAAATAAAATGTATTAATATTATTACCATTATCACCTCCATGTTGTCAAATATGATTCACTGTCAGTTAAAATGATACAAAAGCATCACAGAGTGACGCAGACTCACATCTGCTGAGCAGGTTTAAAGGGAAAGCTCCACATCTGGACTCACCTGAACGCGGCACAGAGAGCAGCACCAGAACCAGAACCAGCAGACCCCTCAGACCCTCCATCGTCCTTCTTCTGCAGCACAGAAGTGACACTTAACTCTAACTGTGCCCATGTGACTGCTTCCAGCTCGGGTCCTCCCTCTGACCCTCCTCTGACTGGAACTGCAGGGCGCCGTACGATGAACCGTCACAGCTGCAGGCGGTGACATCAGCGCTGGTTAATGGGTACTCAAGTGTTTCAGGGTCTTCAAGATGTCAGTCAAAAGTCAGTGTAACGTCCTCGCAAAGGACAAAAACGTGTGTGTGTGTGCATGTGTGCGTGAGTAAATACAGATTTTCTCTTCACCAACCTAAAAAAGAAACTTGACATGAGGCAACTGCTTATCTGATGACACCACCCACACCACCCACCCCCACCCATGTTGGTGTTGGTCACTGAAAACCTAAAACCCTCAACAGACCTTTCAAACCTGTTCAGTGAAGCCAAATTTATGTATAAAAATGTAGATAAAAGTGATCTATAGAATTTTATAGTATATCAAATGTATTTCAAATGTCCACGACTGCAGCACACAGACACACAAATGTGTGTCTTTGATGTAAACACCAGCCGGGTCAGAGGTCGTGAGGGGAGGACCGACTCCCTGTGTGAAAGCAGTGGTTCACACTCAGCCAGAGCAGCGCAGCAGATCTGAGCTGATTTCATCCAACAAACATCTGCAACAAAGAAACTGACATTTGAAATGAGAGCAAGCACCAGAAACATTAGTGGTGCTGATGAAGTACTTTGTTCATCGTCGGTGTTATTGCTCTTTGAAAACAGTCAGATGGGATCATTTAACTTTCTTTTTGTCACTCAGATAAAAGGCTGAATAACTGGCGTTAAAATACAGTCGACTTCTACAGTGCTGTGAAACAGTAACTGCAGTTCTCTCATCGTTCCACAGTGAGGCGCTGCAGCCCACACACATAAAGTTACTACATGAAAAAATACATGTTGTGGAAATCATGGGGACCTCGGGTGGTCCTTTTTGGGCTCTCGTCTCTGAGGGGCCTCTAGATGCCTGGGCCCTGGATCGCCTCCATACCTGCTTTTAACCTCGGGGGCGGGGCTCCCCACACCTACTATTACACACTTAGGTGGAGAAACCTTTTGAATAGTACCGTGCTCACGCACACCTGTGTGCACCTAAGCATACCGTGTAGTATCAGTCCTGTGTGCTGCTCAGAAACATTCAATATTTATTATTTACTGTTATTGATGCTTATGTTGGTACATATTCTAACCTTAATTACTGGGGAGAATAATGAATGATGCTCATAGTGAGTAAGAAGTAAACTGAGTGGATTTTTTGGACAGAGATTCACATTTGTGAATGTGGTGGTCAGAGGGCCCGGTGACGCCAGTGTCCAGCACCAGTGTGTGAATGTGTGTGTGAATGGGTGGATGACTGGTTGTGTAAAGCGCTATACAGATACAGGCCAGTTACCATTTTAAAATATATAAAAATACACTCCAAAAACAGAGTCCTTGAAATGTACAAAATATTGATTAGAAAAATTATAAAAATGGAGGCAACTTTGCCTGTGGTACACCAAAAAAAGATCTTATTGCTACTATGGCTCTATAGACTTTTCCTTTTATTTTAACCTATGTGGCCTCACCTTGAGGTTGGCAAATCTGTCTCTCACTTGTTGGTGATCAACTCTCTCAAGCAGTTTAACAGTTTCTGCCTGTCACTGCTCCCTGTCTGTGTCCTCACCTGGTTCTTCCTGACCTTGTACTTTCTCCTCACGTTCCCTCTTTGGACTGACAATCATACACAAATAGATTGGATTCAATTAGATTAAAAAATACTATTAAGATCACCAACAAAGAGTCCTCTCAGTGTACTTTCAACCAAAAGGCAAATAACCAAACCACATGAACATCTAATAAAAGATATAAATATTGAAACTGATCCAACATTAATCTTTATTGACGGATGATTTGTTTTTACACTTTTACCTGACGTGGCTCCTTTTTTTGAAAAAACTTCCTCATATCCATTATGAACCTGACTGTCTCTGTACACACACACACACACACACACACACACACACACACACACAACAGCAGTTATAAGGTTAATGGGAATCCAGTCAGTTAGCTAGTTAGTACCTTGGGTTTAATATCGGCACATATGACAAAATAAGCAGCTTCTCTCATTCCTTTTCAAACAGGACAGTGGTAACAACAGCAGGCTACAGACAATGTTACGTTTTAGATTTTAAATAGGCTGTATACATTTCAATGGGAGCAACAGGGCGGTCAAATATCACTGATTTCACTACAGAGCAGGACGGATTGTAGGGCAGCAAACATCGTGGGGAAACACGTTTCCCACACTGCAGGTTACCTGGTGTCATGTTTTTCAGCTAAAAGAAACATGGTCTGACTCCTACCAACTGTACAAAGAGTAACGCAAGGTTAAAGGCAGCTAACATGTCCTGTTTTAAGCCAGGCTCTTCCACCTCCCTCTGCTGCGTCTCAGCCGCCATCGCTCTGGCAGTAGCTAGAGCCAGAGCAGGGGAGAGCTGGAACAAACCATTTTGGGAGGGGGGGGGCGGTATCTATACTTTTGTTGTTAAAATGTTCCATCTCAATTAAGTACTGTATGCTTTTTGTATTTTTAGTAGTGTGTCCCACAAACAGCAAATATTGTCAAAGTAAGAACTCTTTGGGGTGCTTTGATTCAAATGGGCTGAAATCGCCCCTGCCCTCTCTCTCTTTATTCTGACGTTTAACTAATTCAAAATATATTTCAATATTTATTTATCTAAAACAAAACAAGTTTACACTAAATTTAGGTTTAACAGTAAAATGTTTTTATGTTTTCCCTAAAGTGTAAATATCTGGTTTAATATGAATATATATGTATCTGTGAATATCCTGCTGTGTATTGAAGTTCCTCTTGTTTTGCAGAGAAATATACTGAACAACATACAAAGCATAATATATAAAATAACATCTACCTGAGTTTCTTCTTTGAAAGAAGCTCCTTATGTCCAGTGTTGTGTTCATCAGTACTTTACTGAAACCAGATGAGAGTTTGTTTAGCCGTGGAGGGAAACAACTGAAAATATGAAACAAACACACGTGTGAGCTGAGACTCTCTAAAAAACAGCTGTTGTTTCGCCATTTGTTGATTCACTCCAAGAGCGAGTAACGTAATATGGGTCAAGTGATCAGTTTGATATCAATCTTTTGTGATACACCGTCATATCACAAAAGATCGATACGACAGGACCACCAGTGTGTCTGCAACTGGCCCACTAAAGGGCCGTCATTCTTTGTGGTGTATGGGCCATGTGTCAGCACATTGTGTGGGCAGATCTGGGCCATACCAATTTTGCTATCTGGGAGTGAGTAGCGGCAGCCAGATGTGCCAGTGTTCACTCAAGCCGGAAGTGGGTGTCTTCAGAGGAGTGTCTTCTCCCTCTCATCCTAACCAGCTGAGATGCCTCATAATGTATCAGAGGACACGAGCTTGCTGGATAATGCTGAAACCATCTGCCATTCTTGCTTTTACACACTTGGAGATCCAGCAGAGCTTAGCACAAAGACTGAAAACAGGATATCTGGAGGGAAGCTAAACTGTACAAATCCGCTCAGCCATTTTACATTGGCTTAGACAAATACCTGCTTAATCTGCTGACCTATGCATATAAGAGGATTTTATAAAATGTCAAACTAAAGAGGGATTCATCTGTGCAGGTTCTCAGTCATCCAGGTCTTGGTAACCTAAGGAACTAGTAAAGAAAAGCAACTGGACATTTCATCCTAGAAGCTTCTTCAGTCCTAAGACCAGATGGTGGAGAGTCCTAGGTATTTAAACTCTAGTGGGACTGTGCTTTAAGAGGGTAGCTGATCCATTATCAGTCACGTGACGCATCACATGAGCCAAGGTGTGAAAAGGGGTCATTATGAGCAGAGGTTTGGGGGGAAACCGTTGTGAGACCCTGCTTTTTATCTAAACCTTCATTGAAAAACATTATGCACCTTTCATCAAAACATACAAGACAAAACCAGTACTTTTCCTCCTCCGCAGATCAGATCAATGTTTTTAAGAGCAACAACGTTACTAATAATCCTTGGTTCAGTTTACCTCTCGTTTTCTTGATGTGAGTAGTAACTATGCACCAGCATATTCACCTTATTTCCTCAAACACTTTTTCCTTAATTGGAGATAAAGTATCTGAATTTCAGGAGTGGGACCACGCCTCAAAACATGCTCCTTCGGGTTACTATTTACTATAACATGCTTTCCCCCCTTTTTTAAAGTGCATTGTGTTCTGCGTACACTCAAAAAAATAATTCATTGGATGAACGTAATTTTATCTTGCCACTTATATTCCATCTAAACAAATCATGTTATATTAATCCATCTTGATTGTGTTGTGTCAACACGATATATGTGTGTAGGTTTAACATAATATTAACATTAACATTCAATTAATTTGACTTTTGTTCAATCAACATGTTTGCACCACGTTAGTCTAATTAAATGTATTTAAATCCGTCTTATCTTGTTTAAACACTTTGGCACATCAAAAGTCAGTCTTGTTACACGAACTAGTAAAGTATTTGTTTGTTACACCAATGATAATCTTGTTGAATGAATGAAAGGTAACTTATGTCTGTAGTACATGTTGTATTCATATTACGTAATGTTCAACCAAAAGAAATCAATGGATTTACAGCAACTTCCAATCCACCCATCTTCTTAGCTTTATCTGGGCTGCGGAAGTGATAGGGCAAGAGGGACAGGGTACATCCTGGACAGGTCGCCAGTCAATCATACAGAGACAAACACCATTTGCACTTCAACACCTTTGGGTAATTTAGAATAACCAGTTACCCTTACAACTACATGACTTTTAACTGTGGAGGAAACCAGAGTACGCAGAGAGAACCCACTGCAAACTTCACCACACTGTGGATTTGAACCCAGGCTCTTCTTGCTCTGAGGCAACAGCACGAACCACCATGGCATTAATGTGTCAATGCAGACTTAACAAAAGTAGGAAAGCTATGCTTGATGATGCTTTATGCCGTTGTCCTTGACAAGTTAAACCATAAGAAGTAGTAACAGCATACACGTG